AAGTTTCACTTCTTGCTTCTGAGGAACCTTGGAATAAATCATTTTAATTGTCTTCTCTAGTCTGTCATAGCCTTTGGAGGAAATTTTTATCTATCTATCTATCTATCTATCTATCTATCTATCTATCTATCTATCTATCTACCTATGTACCCAGCTATCTATCTGCTTACCTACCTATCTATCCATCCTCCATCCATTCCTCCATCTACTTATTTGTCTATCTATTCATCTATCTGTCCATTCTTCCATCATTAGCTCTCTATTTCTCTGTCTCTCTGTCTGCCTATCAAATCTGTCCCTAATGATATATGTATTAACCCATGAAAATACCTATTTTTTTATTATTTTACTTAGTTATTTCTTTACTACTAGTTTATGTACCTTGTATTTAGAAGCCTAGTGTGTGAAAGGTAAAAACAGAGACTATGTATATTTATAGGCAGGTCATAGTCCTGCACAAATAAATGACTGATAAATGAATGACTTAGCGACTTATTCCTAAGCTTAGTCAATTCTGGTTAAATTAATGTGAATTGTAAAGCACCAGTAAAATCCAATAGAAATTGAACTATAGTGTTTACTGTTGTTTCCATGAATTATTTTTAAAAACAATAAAAAGCCTTGCTTGCAACCTAAACTTTCTGTTTCAGTGTGGCTGGTTTTCAAAGAAAAAAAAAATCATTCAACATTCAAAAGTAACACTGAAATATATTACCTGTTTGGGTGTTTTGGTCCATTAACTTTTTGCAGTATTTCTTCCAACTAAAATTACTTTGATGTCATATGGCATCTATTGTATGCTAAAACTCCCTTTTCAAGAACAAAATGTCAAAGCGGATTGAAGGGGAAAAGAGGGAGTGACTTGACTGTGTTCAGTGGTTCTCATCACTACTTCCATCAAAGACTGAGTTCTAAAGTTCTGGTGCTTTCAAAACTTAATAGACTTTATTTCAAACAGTTTTACATTTGAAAGGAAAATCAAGTAGGCAATGACGGAAGCACAATCATTGGATAACATGATAAAAATGTTTTGTTTTATAAGAAACTACCTATCTGTCATCTAAAGTGTTTGCAGCATCTTGTATTCCCACCAGATAGCTCAGTATCTGTTGCTGTTGCTGTGTATTCTTACAGCATTTGCTACTGTCCATTGTATGGCTTTTAACCATTCTAATGCCTGCACAGAGGCATCTCATTATTACTTTAATTTTTAATTTCCTAAAGAGGTGTGGTATTGAGAATCTTTTCTCTATTTGTTTGGGATCTGTGAATCTTCATTGAGGAAGCAGCTATTCAGATATTTTGCCTATTTTCTAAGAGGGTTGTTGGTTTTGTTGCTGTTACAATTTATTTATGTATTCTTTCCTTTCTTTCTTTCTTTTTTTTTCTTTTTTATTTTCTGAGACTGTGTTTCTCTTTGCAACAGCCCTGGCTGTCCTATAACTCTTTCTCTATAGACCAGGCCTGCCTTGAACTCACAGAGATCTGCCTGCCTCAAGCATCCTGAGTACTGGAATTAAAGGTGTGCTTCGCCACACCCAGCCCTCATTCATTCATTTAATGGTACTTTGAATTTAACCCAACATCTCACAAATGCTAGAGAAAGTGCTCTACCACTGAGATATTTATCAATTAAGAAAAAGAAACAAAATATAATTTATCTTCTTTATTCACCATTGACACACTCCCTCCGTTCCTTTCTATCTTTCTTTCAGAATCAGTTAATGGTAATTAGTTTTAATATTTCCTGCCACTCTTACCAGTGTGGGTCATATAGACTTTGAGCTTCAGTTTTCTCCACAGTAAAATAAAAATGATTCCAAATGGTTATGTCATAGTTGCATAGAAGGTAGATGTAAGCATAGTTGCCATGGATTATGGTATGTACCTTTCAGGTGCCTGGAAAAGATTAATTTTCTTTTTCCACCCAAGTACCTATCCTTGAAAAAGAGGTGGTGGAAAAGAGGAAACAGGATGGGAGTCTACTGTAAAGGGTCCTCTGAAAGGCTCCACCCAACAGGGCATCAAAGTAGATGCTGAGACTCACAGCCAATCTTTGGGAAGAGCACAGGGAGTCTTATGGAAGAAGGGTGTGGGGATAGAGGGACATGGAGGGCACAGGAGCCCCACAAGGAGACCAAAAAAGCTAAAGGATCTGAGCCCAGGGGGTTCTGCAGAGACTGATGCATCAACTAAGGATCCAGACCCCCTGCTCAGATGTGGCCTATTGGCAGCTCAGTCTCCATGTGGATCTCCAAGTGAGGGGAGCAGGGGCTGCTTGTGTTATGAACTCGGTTGCCTGCTCTTTGCTCACTTGCCCCTGGTGATGTGGCTTTGCTAGGCCTGCAATTTGTGTTATTGTTGTTGTTTCTGTAGGCGAGTTCATGATCTTTTGTAATTTTCTTTTTCTATTGATCCACCAGTGCTGGCAACAGAACTTTGAGAAAGAACTGTTATTGGCAGGAGAATCTGTGGGCTTTTCTTGCCCTGTGTAGCTTGTATATTAGAGAAAGGAGTACACCGCAATTCAGGTGCAGTTTGCTTCCTAGAGTATTCATTTAAGAGTGGTCTGGGTGATTGAGCTCTGTAGGGGTAACCCGTCTGCAAAGCACCTTTCCTTCACTTCTTTCATGCTGCCCCAAGGCTGAGAGGAAAGTACCTCTCTGCTTTATAGGTCTTCGGGTTTCAATTTCGTCTGCTACATTTTCATTCAGAGATGAGAAAGCCTATGGGAAAACGATGAGTTTAAAACAGAACTTAACTTTCTACAAAATTTCTTGAGAATGTGTGTAGACTGAGTTGGAGGGCAGCTAGGGTGTAACCGTCACTTAGAGACTCTGATTGGAAATGATTACTTCTATTTTGCAACTGTGTGACCTTGGGGAAATATGTCCATTCTACTGAGACTCAATTTCATCATCTGTTAAATCAGAGTTGATAATAACAAATTCAGAAGGTTGCTACAAAAAGTAGCTGTCATAATGTTCTTTTAAGTGGCTTGTAATCTTCAAACTATACAGCCTGTAAGTATTTCTTTTTGAGATAAGCTCTCACCATGTAACTCCAGATAGCCTGGAATTCCCTGTGTAGATCACACTGAAACACTTGGAACAGTTCTCCAGTCTCTGCTTCCTAAATGATGGGATTATAAGACTGAGCCACTGTGTTTGGCCACTTGTGAATGTTTCTTCGACAAGGCTGGTATATCATTAATCTCCATCTAGCTTGAGTATCCATAGCACCTAGCAAGCCTAATGTGTAATAATATGTTTCTGCCTAGAATTAAAATGAATCAACAATTTAAAATATTAACATTTCTGATGATTTTAAACAATTGACTGGCCCTTTGCATCAGGCTAGATGATCACATAGCTTCATTCAACATTTAGATTCAAGGATGGCGAAGAAGTAACAAGTGTAGCTAGGAATATTGTTATAAGGTAAAGTTTCAAAGAATCATTTAATGTTCTAAAGAAAATAAAACAAACAAACAAGCATGTAATTATTGACAGAAAGGAAAACTTTGCTCCTGGGTCACACAATTGCAAAATAGAATGAATCTGCCAACACTGGTAATCTCTCGGTGGTGCAAAGGCCATCCCATCCAATACCCAGTCCACATATTCTCAAAAACCTTTGTAGATGGCTAAGTTCTAATTTAAATTCATCTTTGGTCTCTAGTGGGCTTGGGAAACTCTTTAGAATTACGCTGGCACATCTCCAACATTGCTGGGCAAGTGTTGAGCTCCAGGGAGGAATCTGAGGAGTGAGTTCTAGCTTGTGAGGATCTAGGGCAGATGGTGGGGGTTCAGCCTAGAGCTCACTTCTGCCACACATGACTGAAACGTTGGGCTAAGTGATTCCCAAGGGATACAGTCTCTCAGGGCATCTGAAGGTAGTAATTTGATTTTTCAAGGCTCGTGAATTGGCATCATTTAGTGTACATCTGCCATGGACCTTTGCATTTTGGGAAGATCTGAAAGTAGTAAGGTAAAAATATCAGGAAACTTGGCTAATTTTGTTTCTTTTTAAACTCTTTTATTTTTTTTTTCTAAAACAAAAATCTGCTATGGTGGTTTCTTTCTTAAGCAAATAAATGTGGCACTCCGGTTATTTGGGACAATTTGTTTTAGAATATTTTGATTTGGGGACAATGGGATGGCATACATTTCTACTCTCTCAAAGCAGTGGCACTTATTGGGCTTTATGCCAAGGGACTGAAGCAACAGATGTAATCTTGAATGTGTGGTCTCTGTAGACTGGACTAGGCTTCCAAGCCATGTGGAAGCTGAACTTACCAAAGAGGCTTAGCAGTTATCCTTCCAGATGTTCAGCTTGCAGTGATTGTCAATATCAGATGCATAGACAAGGACATGGATCGTTCTTCCCGCCCAGATACCCACTCAGTAGACAAATAACTTTTCCAGGTCTGGCAATCTATCAGATAACTCCCTTTAAGTTATTCAGAGACAATTTACCCCAAATAACTCAATTGGACTTATCTTTTGTTCTTGGCCAATAACTTGCCTCTCCTCTGGGTTTGAACAGGCTCAGATTGTTATGTGAGCTTATATAGTATATGGTCTGTTGTCAAATACTAATCTCTGTCTAAAACTGAAATGTCCTTAAATGCAACTTCTTGTTAACTGAACAAATCAATGAGAGAAAGAGAGATAACTTCTGATTTAGCCAATTTTTAATCAATATTTTCATGAACAGCTGCAATGTTAACTGAATCCTGGCAGTTGTCGTTTGAAATGCAATATGTGTGTTTAAAAATTTATGTGCACATCAAAGTTTAGGCTTCACATTCAAAAAGGAAAATTGATTTATGGGAGCAAACAACTGCAGGGATATAGGTAATGCCAGCAATGAATGTGAGTCAATGATTTAAGGCAAATGGACCTTAATCACCAAAGCAACAGAGACATGTTACACTTGATTACAGCCTGGATTTCATGTTTTAATTTGTGGGTATGTCTTTTTCTCTTATTTTACAGAGGCCTTTGAAATTGTTGTTCGCCATGCCAAGAACTACACCAACGCCATGTTTAAGAATAACTACCCCAGCCTGACTCCACAAGCTTTTGAATTTGTCAGTGAATTTTTCACAGATGTGTCTCTCTACATCTTGGGTTCTGATATCAACATGGACGATATGGTCAATGAATTGTTCGACAGCCTCTTTCCAGTCATTTATACCCAGATGATGAACCCAGGCCTGCCTGAGTCAGTATTAGACATCAACGAGTGTCTCCGAGGAGCAAGACGTGACCTGAAAGTTTTTGGCAGTTTCCCCAAGCTTATTATGACCCAGGTTTCCAAGTCACTGCAAGTCACTAGAATCTTCCTTCAAGCCCTGAATCTAGGAATTGAAGTCATCAACACTACCGATCACCTCAAGTTTAGCAAGGACTGTGGCCGTATGCTCACCAGAATGTGGTACTGCTCTTACTGCCAGGGACTGATGATGGTTAAGCCTTGTGGTGGTTATTGCAATGTGGTCATGCAAGGCTGTATGGCAGGTGTGGTGGAGATTGACAAGTACTGGAGAGAATACATTCTGTCTCTTGAAGAACTCGTAAATGGCATGTACAGAATTTACGACATGGAGAATGTGCTGCTCGGACTCTTCTCTACCATCCATGATGCCATCCAGTATGTGCAGAAGAACGGAGGCAAGCTGACCACCACTGTAAGTATCAGTCTTTGGTTTCTGAAGGGGCTGCCCTTCATTGTGGTGTTGGGTGGCATGACATCTCCACAGATATTGATAGAAATACAAAGAAAGAAAAACAACGAGCAAGCAAGAATGACAGGCTGAATGAGCTCATAGCGGTAGGCAGCATGTTAAAACTACAGGCTACAGAGTCATAATACCAGGCTTGTATTCTGGGTCCACATAGTTCCTTGCTATAGAATATGTGGGAACTTATTTTATCTTTATGAGTCTCATTTTTCGAGTTCATAAAAGAAGAATAGCACGTATTCAGACACTTAGCATCTGTGTGGTAAGCCTTTATTAAATGTTAGCTGTTGCCTTTATTATCGCAATCCTTATGGTAATACTCTAATCTTTTCTCTCTCTTGTAAACAAGGGTACTGAAGTCTAGTGAGTTGCATGTTGCTCAAGGACACTCAGTTACATAGTTAGTGGAAGAGGCATGATTCAGAAACTGAAATTTCAGTTCAGTTGTCATCAACCTCTATCCTGATTTTAGTCTGTGATCTTCCTCACATATATCACATTACAATTCTGAGGGGAATTTAGAATATCATTTAAAGAGAAGAAAGGGAAATGGTATCTACTAACTAAAACCACACATGGACATAAGAAAAGCCAAACATCTGTGTTCCCCAGCATTCATGTTTTCAGCCTTAATTATACCAGTCTAAGACTGATGGGTTTTGTGAGGGGTGAAGGACAGTTCTGCAAGTGAGGTAGTAGCTTATTTGGCTCCCAGTAGATTTTCATCATAGAACCACAAGAGAATGGCACTTCTGATGTAGAACAGAACATCCAGTCAAGAGCTTCCAGCTATGTCCTTTGGAGACAATGACTGCTCCCTAACTGTTTCCAGCTTTGTAGGGATGTGGCAGAGCAGTACAATACACTAAGGAGCTCCTGCTTACATCTCAGATGCTCTGTTGCCCACTGTGTACCATGAGATGGGTCTCAGTAGCTTACCTTGCACACAGGAAGGATGAAGCTTAAAGAGTGTAAGTACTTTCCGAGATCTCCAAGATTGTTCAATGGGTGGAGCTGGGATTTGAACACAGGAGTGGCTGTCTTTGTTGACTCCTGCTTTTAGCTTCCCTCCAGTACATTTTCGGTGTATTCTAAGCTGTTACTTATCCAGACTGATGAGAGCGGCATGGACTGGTTAGTCCTGTCTTTAAACTCTGGAAGTGCAAAGTGATAGGGCTAATTGATTTCTTCGGTGAATTAAACTAGGAGGGAGGACAGAAATGATACAACCCTCTGCATGGCTACTTACGGAACTGCTCTAATTGCCCCATTCACAGTGTTGGCCATTTAAAACCCATTTACTGAGAAAATATTTTATAGTAAAATGAACAGAAATGCCGTATCTAACGATGGTGTTCTTCAATGGCTAATTATTCCCTTGACTGCTTTATAATTCGAGGCCAGATTCTGGGGCCTTACGCAAAAGTAAATTGCACAGAACTAGAAAAATGAAAAGTAAGTGCATTCATATGTTCACTCGCTAACACTGATTGAGGGTCCACTGTGTGCCCAACACCAACCAGGGGCATCTGGCTGTGAGAATATTTATAGTAAGAAGATAATACAAAGATTACTTAAAGGGCAAGGTGCATGAGTATTTAAAGGCTATGCACATTTTGTTTTGACAGTAGCGTAATGGACCTTGAAAGCACGTGTCCTCCCCCAGCGCTTTAAAAAAAAAATTAAGTAAGGGGTACACACATGACACATGCTCTCAATAGCCCTGGCACTCGGGAGATCAGGGCATGAGGATCAGCATTTGGATAGGACTGCCTGGGTTAATCTAAGACATGGTCACCAAAAACAAGCCAGAGAGGGACAGAGGAGACAGAGAGATACATAGAGAGAGAAGAAGAAAAGGAAAACAAACAAAAAAAGAAACAAAACTAAGTACACTGTTTTGATGAGGTCTAGACACGCAGGTTTGTTGAGTGAACACTTATTAATGTCTGCTTTAGGCACGGAACTTTGTCAGGTGCCAGGCATTTGTAACTTCCCAAGACAGAATTCTTAAGTCTTGACATGTCCCAATTTTACTGGTAGATGGACCTGCTACTGAATAAATTCCACCACAGCGAACATTTTACTATCATGTGAATGTCAGAAAGGCTGTGTGAAAAAAATGAGCGCATCTAATCCCATTCATTTAAGAAAGAAGAAACAAAGTCCCAGGAGGCATGCCTGAAATTATTTAGCTAATAAAAGAACCAGAACCAGAACCCCAGGTATTCTCCTGAGGCAACCTAATATTTTTTCTGCCAGATCACTCTGTCCCCAATAAGATCCTTCCAGACTTTCACTCTAAAAGCACCATTAGGATTTTGCAAAGACATACTGAACTTAAATTGCATAGCTATTTCAGGCTTTTAAACCTGCTACATTTTAGGTGTGTGTGCATGTCAGCGTGTGCTCATGCACATACCTAACATACAGTAGGAGTACGTTTTGTGTCATTATCATTCAGGAGGAAAGGCCTTGGCTGTCAAGAGGTGCTCAGTGATGCAGTCACTTTCTGTTTTGGCCATTAAGGGCCTGATTGCTTCCAGCTCCCATCTAGTTATGAGAGCGTGAAGTCTGCTATCCCCTAGGAATGCTTAAACTAAGCCAGAAAGCATATGTGTGCTGCCTCATTGCTGTTATATGATCACCAATGCTAAGTTGTCTGGATCACCTGGTTGGGATTAGGGAATCATCGGCTGGGTGTGTTCCAGCACACACTTTGTACAGGCTACAAGCAGGCAGGGCTACTTATTAGGATGAGGATAACTATGGGCTTGAACAACTGAAGCACTCTGGTCATGTTGACAAACCCACAGACAGAATTCCTCAAAGCAAAACCTGGTTTAAAATTAAGCATTAACGAGATTCTGCTGGGGCACCCTCCCTTCCTTGTGTTGCTGAAATGGAAAGGCCCCACAGTCAAACCTCTCTTAGGTTTACTTGTGCTGAGCTTTCTCTTTGAAATAATGCCATTCCTGAGTTGTTGAGGCAGAGTAGCATTCTTGACAAGGTATATAAGTCATGGGATGAAGCATCCGCACAGGGATGTTGTTCAGTTCTGTTGGGATGTTCAGGATGTAACCATCTTACATCCTTTAGATGGTTTGCTTTTCTATATGGCTTACACTTTCATAAGTGTAGATTGTTGATGCTCTTTAGTTTCTCCAAGGAGGGTTCTCAATCCTGTAGATTTCCAAGTGAGGACATGTGGGCAAATATTGGGATATTATTACTGAATATAGCAGATGCTCACTTCCTAAACTTTAGTCATCATCCCAGTCAATGGGAGAACTGCTGGAGTCCAAGCCTAGAGATTTCTATAACACAACTCTATAGAAAGGCTAGAGACCTTGCCATTTAAATATTGTTGTACTTGATCCTGATGTTCCATTAGAAACATCTGGCTACCTTGCTTGAAAGATAAAAGAAGACTGAGAAATTGGAAGTGAATAGCTCAGACACTCTAGGCTATTTTTACAAGGGTAGAAGGATATTATATCTCCAAAATGGGGCTGCTGTGTGGGTGTGAAATGAATTGTTAGGGTTAGAAAATGTATCAGAAGAGGAGAAAACAGGGAACAGGACAGGAGCCTTCCACAGAGGGCCTCTGAAAGACTCTACCCATTAGGGTATCAAAGCAGATGCTGAGACTCAGCCAAACTTTGGGCAGAGTGCAGGGAATCTTATGAAAGAAGGGGAAGATAGAAAGACCTTGAGGGGACAGGAGCTCCACAAACAGAGCAACAGAACCAAGAAATCTGGGCACAGGGGTCTTTTCTGAGACTGATACTCCAACCAAGGACCATGCATGGAGATAACCTAGAACCCCTGCACAGATGTAGCCCATGGCAGGTCAGTCTCCAAGTGGGTTCCCTAGTAAGGAGAACAGGGATTGTCTCTGACATAAACTCAGTGGCTGGCTCTTTTATCACCTCCCCCTGATGGGGGAGTAGCCTTGCCAGTCATGATGAGAGACCTGATAAGCTAGGGTCAGATGGAAGAAGAGGAGGACCTCTATCAGTGGACTTGGAGAGGTGCATGGGAGGAGATGAGGGAGGAAAGGTGAGATTGGGAGTGAATGAGGGATGGGGCATACAAAGTGAATAAACTATAATTAATGCAAAAATAAAAATAAATTAAAAAATTAAAAATTATATTTAAAAAATAAAGAAAAAACAAGTTTCACCAAGCCCCAGTCCAGACTGCTAGGTGTCCAGTGAATAATGACTTTTTCTTATGCCTTTTAAAGATTTGCTTTTATTACTTTAAATTATATATTTGTGTGTTTGTGTGCATGTGAATGTGCGCGTGCTAGTGCAGGTACTCTTGGAAGCTAGAGGCATGGGATGCCCTTGGAGTTGGAGTTAGGTGGTTATAAGTTGCGTGATGTGGATGCTGGGAATCGAAAACTAAGGGCCTCTGGAAGGACAGCAAGTGCTCTTAACCTCTGAGCCATTTCTTCAACCCATTTATATTGGAGAACAAACTCAAAGAGTCATGTGTGCCAGGAAAATGTTCTATCACTATCAGTACTATCACCAAGCTCCTTACACTTAATTTGAAGTGTGACTGGTCATTGTTATTTTAGTGTAAAAAAGTTGAATAAAAATGCTGATGGGTGTATAAAAGATATCTATATGCATATGCGAGTGTGTGAGGGACACAAACATCTATAGTGAGAAGTTCAAATAAGGGATTAATATTAATAGATCCATTCTGATCTTCAAATGGATTCAGTCAAGGATACATATCTTGCCCCTAAGTGAGTCCCGAGCCTTTGATAGTAGTTAGGTGAAAACTGAGCAGCATGTTACTGAATTGCACATTTTATACCTTGAAAAATATAGATATGTACAGTTTATTATACATGTACTTTCAGTATTGCTGATTACCGTGCCTTTTTTTTTCAATATGGATGATAGAGCTCATGTAAAACATATTTTTAA